AGAGAGAGAGAGAGGGAGTGATGAATTGGGTAACTCTTCGTGGAAATGTTGGGTATTTGCTATTTCAAATACAGGAGGCGCTGATGTGTAGTTATGAGAAAGAAAAGATGAGATGTGGTAAATAGTTTACTGCATAATTCCAACTGCGTGTGTGTGTGAGAGATAGAGAGAGAGAGAGAGGAGGGGGAATTAACTGGGTAATTCTTTGTGCAAATGTTGGGTATTTGCTATTTCAAATATGGGGGTGATGATGTTATTAGAAAGAAAAGACGTTAGTGGTAAGTAGATTACTGTGGTATTGTTCTGACTACATGTGTGAGTGTGTGTGTGTGAGAGAGAGAGAGAGAGGGGGGGGATGAACTGGGTAACCTGTGTGTGGGTGTGGGTGTGTGTGTGTTGAGAGAGAGAGAGAGAGATGAATTGGGTGTTGTTTAATTCTTTTGACTGTTGTATATCCTCTCTCTCTCTCGTTCTCATTGGAGGGTTGCTGTGGCAGACATATGTATATCACCTAACTTCAAATGTAAAACAAAGTCGACAGAAATTTAAAATTTATATATTGCATAATCAGTCTTATTTCTCATGCACTCATCTTTTTGGAGTTTTGTATGACTCAGGTACTTGGATCATAATTTATTCACTGGAAGGATCCCCGATGCCTTCTACAAGCACCCATTCTTGAAAGAAATGTAAGTTCTTCCTTCTAATTCAATGCCTCTTTTTTAATTAGAAATAATGAAAAATAAATAAAATGACCAGATTGCCTGAAAAATCCAATGAGCTCATTAAATCAACCAGTTTATCAACAAAGTGGTTACTTCTTAAAAATATTTTCAATTATCTCCCCAACAATTTTGTTAGAAAGTCTCGAAACTGCCCTTGTTTGGTTATGTATCCTGGAACGAATAAGGGCATTATAGTAATTTGACTATTTAAGTCACTTGAGGCAAGTGATCTAAATATGTCCACTTGTTTTAGGTTCCAAAACATTTTCATTAGAAAAACCTTGTTTAGAACTTAGAAAATGTACGATCGTACTTGTAATTTGGCTCTATCCAAGCCACTAAGTGGAAAGATGCCCATATCCCTTTCTTGTTCCTTGTTGCAAAACCAAGAAACTATTTTCAATGAAAAAGCATATTCATGATTTGGCTCATGGAACAATGAAGGATATTTATGTGATATAGCTTAAGTACTTAATTAGCCACGTTATCAAATTTATATATGCAACTCTCTCACTCTCAGTTGTTTTGTTTGATCTAAACGGAGGGTTGGGATACTTTCACACATAATATCACTAGTGCGCCTCTCATTTTTTGATCTAGATATGATAACTCATACTCTATTGTTTTAATTTTTTTTTTTTACAAATCATATGAACATGAAATTTGGGGTGTGTCAGCATCTCAATGGGGCGCACCGACAAAATATATCAAAAAATATTTTTGAAAAAAAGATCAAACTACCTTTAGAAATTCTTTAGAAATTATAGGGGTAGTTTGGTTATTTTGTTTTTTTAAAAAACATTTTCTGATATTTTTGTGGATGTGACTCTAGAGGATGAGACGTCCCAAATTTGGTGTCAGCATGATTTGTAAAAAAAAACTAAAAATAAAAAAGTGTTTAGGCGTGACATTTTGATTGCGGTAGGCTCAACCGTCCATTTAGATCGGACAATTGAGATAGTGGTGGCATATATAAATTCCTTATAGCATATAGAAAGCTTTCCTTTATAAAAAAAAATGTGCTACTTTTTCAGGTTCCCAAATCTAAAACAAGGATAGTTTGGATATTTCCTAACAAAGTAATGTTGCAGGTACCTTAAGAAATGGTTATTAAAAATTAGTTGTTTTAACCTCATTGATTTGTGAGGTGGTTTGACCGCTTAAGTGAGATTTTCCCATTTGATTTTTTTTATTTTTTTAAAATGAAAAAATGCAAACAGGAAAATGCTGATTTAGGGTTGTTTGAAAGTGAAGAATGAAAAAATTGAGATTGTACAGGTACATTGAAGGGAACCAGTTCAAGCCAGGTGCGAACCCAATTGGTGTCCACAAAGTCCTTGAGGTATCAGACTCTGAGTTCCTCTTCTAATTTTCTCCAATTCTTTTATTTGTTTAGTGTTCTAGTCTCTATAGATCAAACTTAAAAATAATTTTGTCCAATGCTAAACTGCATTTGCCTAAAGGTGGCTTCCTCTCTCTCTCTAAACTGGATTTGCCAAAAGTTGGCTTCCTCTCTCTCTCTGAACTGGATTGTTAAAGTTGGCTTCCTCTCTCTCTCTCTCTCTCAATTCCTAGCTGTCTGTGATATTGGTTGAACTCATATTCTTCAAAATGAATTAACACGTTGCCCTATGATGTATGTAGACAAAGAGGAGTCACGTTATTATAATTATAATTAAATGCCCTCCGTCTCTCTGAAGGATCTCTGTTTAGAATAGGTTTAGTGCGGTTTTCTCTTAGATTTTGTGGGAACACATGGTGTGCCTTTGCAAGTGGGTTTACTCATCTGACACGGTTCCTCGACATTCGTTTCCCTATATCATCAACTAATGATAAATATATGAGATAATGATAAATTAATGATAGAGAGAGAGAGATGGTTAAACACGTGCTACGCTTGAAAACATAGAAAATAACATAAATTATTAAATGAGCAAAAAGGAGATAATACGAGAGATGGTGAGAGAGAGAGTAATAGCTATGGAGTGTTCATTTGTTAAAATTTATTGTTGTATGGGTATGGAGTGTTCGTTTGTGCAAGTTTATAGAGAACGTAATATAGAGGCGGATGCTAAATAAAAATTGGAGTTACTGTTGAAGCTTTAACGATTGTGTAATTTTTTATTTTTTTTGTTCTCCTTGTTTTCAGTTTTTTTTTAATGTAATTTTTTTTTCCTGTTGTATTGCCCAAATGGCTTTCACTGTGGGAAGAAGTTTATGTAGAGCCACGGCTCTAAACACTCAAACTAGAGCCCACCTCAAAAATATCACTAGAGGTTGTTTTGATGCCCAAACATCTTCAAATTGATTATCTCGGCATGAAAATGCATGGACATGAGAAAAATAGATTTCAGTTTCGGAAATAGTGCATCTTGTGGTGCGTTTTTGGATCGTCAATTTTCAAGATTATCAAGTTTTTATAGATATGTTCGATCTACATTATTTTTAAAGCTTCAAATTTTATAATTAATGATGAAAATATAATTTAAGGCTATCCCAAAGCTTTTCAGCATTGAAACTACATTTCTCTAGACACTATTGGAAGGTACGCTTTACTTTGATTGTTTAAAAGCATCGGCCCTATCCAAATTGCACCCTTGAGTGTGATGTAATTTGCAAGCGATGATGCGATAAAATTGTTAGTGATTCCCAAAAACATAACAAAAATTATCAAATGAGTAGAAAGGAGCCAAAGTATTGGAGGGTACATTACATACGTGAGATGCTTGAGGTATGCGATAGATTGACACAAATGCATGCAAAAAGGCAATATGAAGTTGTGTGTGTGTGAGATGAAATCAGTATATGGCAGTGCTTGAAAAATAGTTTTTACTCGGCCGAGTTAATCGGGCTCAGGCCCTTGTCAAGCCCGAGTTGTTCGAGTTGGAGGTCCAATTAAAAAAAATAAAAAAATACAAAAAATTAAAAAATCATATTTGTAACATGTTTATTTATGTTTTATACCATTTTGGCAAATATTGGAAAGTATTTTGGCTATCAATACTTATTTTTACATTTTTCTCATCCTTTAAAATAAATTAAAAATACGTTTGGTTGCAAACTCATTTTTTAAAATTTATTTTTGTTACTTTTTTAATCATGCTTGGTTAAATTTTACTTTGAATATATATTTTTATATTTTTGTATTTTTTTAATGATTTTTAGGTACTACAGTACACGGCCGTCCTCGGGCGAGTATTCGGCAGGGGTATGTCCGAGTTGTCGGCCTGAGGTCGACTTTTCCAACACGCTATAACGGAAATACTGGAAAGTTAAAAACGCGCTTATACGAACTAACAAGTGCGTGAGAGAGACAGGGATAGAGACAAACTTATGCATGGGTTTATTAAAGTAATAATATTATTATGAGAGAATACTTCATGTGGATATTATTAAAGTAATACTGATATGAGAGATACGAACTAACAAGTGCATGAACTAACAAGTGCATGAGAGAGACACATATCAGTATTATCTATCAGAATTGGATCGGCTTGGACAAATTTGGGGAGATTATGCTTTTGATCATCTCACATTTATAAAAATATATATAAAAAAAAACCCTAAAATAAATAAAATGTCCAAATACCTCTTAATTTCCAAAATTTGAAAGGGTATTTTGGTCATTTTTATTTAACTTAATTATATATTTTTTAATACTTTTTGAAATGTTTTATGTGGGAAATATTAATGCTCAAAATTTGAGCTTAATCAGATATATATAAAAAAAAAACAACATTAAAAATACAATATTCACTATAAGAAAGTTGTATTAGGTATAAAATATAAAATACATAGAACTATTTTTTAATTTCATAAATAAAAACTGGGTTTTTTTTGGTAATTTTCCTTTTATCTATTATAGCCACTAAAGCCCTTGATTGCATTAGAATCACTGGATATTACTTTTAGATGCTATGTCCTATTACCCAATTTGAGGTTATATGTTTGAATCACCTTGGGTTTGTGAATTTGGTCTAAGAAGTGTGAGGATTTTAAACCTTCTCTTAACCCATCCCAATCCCGCGTAAAAAGGGTGAGTCGTGTTAGATAGGCAGCAAACGTAAAATTTTTTCAAAACTTTTCGTAGATTGGTCATTGGACATGTTAAGACTCTGGTCCAGTTAAAACTGATATAACTTCCAATAAAGAGTACATCTAAATTTATGAAACATGTTAAAAAGAAAAATTCATGTTTGATTGTTCTAATTGATCATCAATTCATGTTTATCTAATTAGTTAAAATTGATTTTGACTAATTTTCAACTAAACATGAATTTTGTTTTGAACTAACTTAAGTACTAATCGATAGACCAACTGGTTGGACCAGCCGATCCAATTGGGTTTTGATAGGATTGCCCACACTAGCCAAAAAGAGGGAGACTTACATTAAGGAGACTTATTCAAAGGATATTTCCTTTCAATTTTTATATCACACCCATTTATGGAAATTGATTGTTTTCTAGCCATCTATGTTACATAGATACAAACTATGACATGGATGAGAGTGTTTAAAATGTGAACCCCGAAAAATGACTTCTAGGCATGATATGTTCGTACAAATATACAATTATTGATATAGATGTATACGTCTATATATACATATATTAAAATCTATATGTAGTTTTTTTTGGGCAAGTAAAATATATATATAGTTCGCATTTACATTTACATATACAACAATTTATATCATACAATAATAATAAAACATCCAAATAATAATAATTAAATTAACAAAAAGTTATTTTGTGAATCTGAATTTTACTCATTACAAGTTCTTATAGGCCAATCCAAGATTGCATCGTAATAATATATAAAAAAGTTACAAAGTATTAGCTAATTATTATTTCAAAATGTAGCAACTTTATTGCGTGGCTATTGAAAATAGACCAAATGCATTCATTTAAAATACAAGCTTTCAAAACTAGTAAAAATCAATTATTAAGACAAAATAAAGTACATTACAATTTGTGTTATTAATGTCAAAAAAGGTGGAATAGTAACAATCTTATATGGCACAAGAATGGAAGCGAGAAAAGTTGAAAAAAACTAGTTGGGGAAGAAGAGACCTTAGAAAGTTTTATGGTAGCAAAAACAATTTAGGATTTATGGAAACCCTAATTTAACAAATAAAAATATTTTTTATTTGTTTATTCTAAACTATTTATTTTATTTCAAAATACTTATTACTTTTAAAATAAAAACTCTTCAATGGAGAATAAAGATTTTTAAAAAGCAGAAACAGTACTTTCAAAAAAAGAAATGTGTCTAACACAAGGGACACAATAATGAATATTTAATAATATGGTACACATGTCTAAGAATTTCGACACGTGTAACCATATCGCCCAAGTGTGGACACATGGTCATGTCCCAAAAACATACATGTCTATATTTCATAATTTGCTACCGATATGATTTAGGGCTGAACACTTGCTTCATAATCGTAATTTTACGAGGAAATGTGTAAATGTTAAGAGAGAGAGAGAGTTTCCATGAAATGAAATTCATATGTTCTACAATTCTATTAGAATATTAGGTAGGGGGAGAATTGTGCATGAGAAATAACTTTTTTTTTTGTTTTTCTTTTTTCTTTGATAGAGGGGCAAACTCCTTAGCATACTATCTAGCTAAAGGAGGGATTTCTTTGCCTTTTTTTTAAATTTTTTTTTCTGATGTAATTTCCTTTTAGCATGACTTTATAAGGTAATATTAGTAAAAAAAAAAGACGTATTTGGTTTCATTAGATCACGAGTGAGAGAGAGGGGGAATAGATTTTTCCAAAAAAATAAATTCTTCTTAGTACAGCTAGAATATTTCAAGTTTCCAACGACTTGCCAGTGAAAAATGACTTAGTTGTCCTACAGAATGGCCATATATAGACCTAATTTCATGGTCCACCCCCAGTACAAAAGCACATGTATTTTAGCACCGGATTCTCCCTTCTTTCTCTTTTCCATAACTCTTTGGTTGTCACCCCATTTCCTCTCTCTTCTCCCAAAGCCATGGGCACCCTCTCTTTGGCCCCACAGTCTACTCCTAGGACTGTCCCTAAATTGGCTCACATTTCAACTAAGCACTGCCTTGATTGGACACCACTCTCTCAGGGCTGACCCTACGCCGGGCCAGCTGTGTCCCCAGCCCGGTCTTTGAACCCAAATGGTCGGCCTGTAAGGATGCAATGTGTTAGAACTTGTAATTTTGTATAATTGGGCTTTAAGCCCTCGTGGAAGATAGTATTATTGAGCTTATAGAATATGTGATAGGTTACAAAATTGTGTACTACTGAATAAACTAATATATATATAACAAATTACATTATTAGTATGGATACACATAAAAAGAAAAAAAATATTGTTCCAAAAAATAAAGACAGGTTTTTATATTTCCACACAATGGACACAGACCTGAGGGGTAGACTGGATCTAGGTCTAGGTATGGATCTAAAAATTGGCTCTGGTGAGTCAGGTCTGGATCCAAATATTATACCTAAGCATTATTCTGGTCCAGTTGGAGGTCGGACTTGGACCTGTTGCCACCCCTAACGGCTCAGCCTTGTTTCGGCCTAAAAGTCGTGCCCCTCTCAAGGCCAGCCTAGGCCAAATAAGATAGGAAAAAAATAAACGAAAAAAAAAAAATACGAATAAAATGAGGGCTGGGCCGGACCGGCCACCCAGCCCATTGCCCCTCTTTAGTTGGCCTCCCATTGCCAACTCATCACTTGGAGGGCATTCCTAAACCGGGCATTGCTACTCTCTCTCTACCAAAAATTAACTCCTCTTATTTTCTCTCTCTCCCCTCATTTTCTCGATATTCTATATCATTAATTGCTCTCTCTCTTCTTCTCCAAGCAAGGAGATGCATTGAAAATCGATAGTGTAGGAACCTAATTATGCACCAAATGTTGCCCTAAAACCTTGGATATCCACAAGTGCCCTACATTTCGGTGTCCTTATTTAGAAGAACTATGAACTCAAGAACAAAGTTTCGGGGTGCCTTTAATTTTTTTCTGGGGGGCAAATATAAGGGTGTACCAGACAGGACCTTGTTTTGCTTTCTCACACTAACAGTCAACCAGAAAAATTCTTAACTTAGAGAGAGAATGCCCTACCGTCGTCCCATGACAGATAAGGAGTGCCCCTATTGACCCACTTTTGCCCACCATCTGTCTTAAAACTCACTTTCTCTCTCTAAAATTCTCTCCCCACACAATCATATAATATGAAGGGTGGCAATGCACCCGGATCCAAGGGGTAGACCCGATCCGCTCTGGTGAATTTGGATCCAGTCAGGTCGGGTCCAGGTTGAGCCCTACCTTAACATGGAGATCCTCTTTCTCCCTACAAAGATCAAGGGCTAGCATGTCTCAGCTCTCTCTCTCTCTCTCTCTTCCCGGAATTCATCAATGTTTTTTTTTCCTTTTCATGATTCTTCTATGTATAGAGGAGATATTCATATAATAATTCAAGCTCTATATCCATGCATAAAAAAAACACATACACATTCTCTCCCCATTCATCTCTCTCCCCGATATTTATCATTGGTCTCTTTTTTTTGGTGCGGTCAATATAGGGCCGAGGCTTTAAACAACAAAAGTAATTTAAAGTTTAACAAATAGTGTAGATCGATTAGAACTATAAAAACATGAAAATCTTGAAAATTAATTGTCAAAAAATGCATTACGAGATGTATTATTTTCAAAACTTAAAATTCATTTTTTTTTCTCATGTCTGTGCATTTTGTTGTGGAGATGATCAATTTGATGATATTTGAGTACCAAAACAACCCTTTCTAGTGAAATTTTCGATGTGCATGTTCCAATTTGATTGTTTAGAAACTTGTATTTATATAAATTTTTCCCCTTTTTTTTCCTCAAAGCTAGCAGTGTTTTCTCTTTAGTATAGGCCTTTTCTTTTAGTATAAGCTCTGAAATTCAAGATCTAAATGTCTGACCTAATTTGAGGATAAACTTTGACCACACCATACGCGAAGCTAATCATATTACTGATAGGCTTGTTTAAACATGGTGTTTCTATTCATTTTTTCATGTTTTTCACAATTTGATCTAATCTTTATAATTTCATGCTCTTATTTAATAAAAATTGATAACAGTTGTCCAAAAAAAAAAAAATCTCTCTTCTTCTCTCCTAATCACTAAGCCCAAAGGGTCACTCCCTCTCTTCTCACTTTCTCTCTCCTCCCAATAAATCAGGGCGCCACCCTTCTTTTGGCCCCACAATAGCATATAAACTCTCCACTAATCTCTCTCTCTCTCTAAATCCTTCTAATCTCTCTCTCTTGGTAATTTCCATTTGGTGCATGCTCCCTTAGCTCTCTCATCTTAGCTCCCTCTCTCTCTCTAATTACTAATTAACATGGTTAGTACTCTGTCTATATCACTTTCTCTCTCTAGAATGGATGCGTGGCTCTTTCTCTCTAATTACTAATTAGCATTGGTACTACTCTCTCTCTAGGATGTATTCCCCACATCGCGCATTGCCCCTTTCAAACGCATGAAATGAGACCCAAACGCATTTGTTTGACTAAACCCTGTTAGCCATTATTATTATTATTATTTTCCTCACTTTCTCTCTCATCAAAGTCTTGATCCTCTCTCTCTCTAAAGGTCAGGAACAAAACAGCGGGGCGGGCGCGACCCATGTTCCTTCGAGACCAGATCCTCCCCCATGGCTCCAGAGAGAGAAAACCCACGCCCCATCTGAGCCATGCCACCTCTCTCAGGCCTCAGAGCTCCAACACTCTCTCGTTCTCCCTCCCTAGATTTTTTCTCTCTACAATTGCTCAGATCTGATGGTGGGTGTCCTCAGAAGGGGAGGAGAGATCGAGAGGTAGGGCTTGGTGCGTCTGCACAATGCAGGTCCATATCTCTCCTAGCATGAGAAGCATCACGATTTCGACGACGAGCAATGGCTTATTGGACTTTATGAAGATCAAGGTAGCAGCTCGACACATCTCTTACAGGACCCTCTTCCACACCATGCTCATCCTTGCCTTCCTCCTCCCCTTCATCTTCATCTTGACTGCGGTTATGACCCTCGAAGGCGTCAACAAATGCTCATCTCTCGGTATAATCTGTGTTTATCTCTCTAGAATGGGTGCTTTCTCTGTGCAGAGTTGTTTCTCTCTCCAACCATCTCTTTTTTGGCCCATTTATCTCCCTTTTTGTGTATTTCAATCTCTTTTTCGATACCCATCTAGCGGTTTTTTGTGTATTTCAATCTCTTTTTGGATACCTATCTCGTGGTTTTCCTGTCTCTGCTCGGATTTCACCGTCTGCAGCTATTTCTCTCTCTATCCAATTCATGTTATGCGCCTCTCTCTCTTCCCATCTCTTGTTATGCCTCGTTCTCGTTCTCTCTCTGCATCTCCCTTTTATTATTTATTTCAATACCCATGTCAATATCCTTCTTTCTTTCTGTCTATGGTGATTTGTATTATGCTCCTCATTCTCTATTTTCAGCTCTTTCTCTTGCTATATCTCTCTGTCTATCTGTATTTTGATTCCAATTTCTCAATCCCCCTCAATCACTCGCCTCTCGTTGTCTCTCCACATTCATCTCTCTATGCAGTTTGATGGTTTATTAGTGATGTGATTTTAGCTGTCGCGGTTTTTACAATTTGAATCTGTTCAAATTGAAGGATCTCGGATTTGGTTGGCCTTGTTTTGTTTGATCCTTTATGTTTCATTTGCTTTTGGCGATTATTTTTGGATCTTGTTTGAATTGGATGAACATGCATTTAACCTTGTTTTCTAATTTTCCCCTCAAGGATCTTTTACTCTTGCGTTTTTGTTACTGAGTTCTGTTTGAATGATGGATCTTTGAATTGATCCTGCCTTTTTTCGATCAATGTTTTGTTGTGGCTATTATTATTTTTTGTTGTCTTTGGATGATTTTGTGCTTTGGTCTCTTATAAATTGGATGGTCATATATTTGATAATGTTTTCTTCTCTTTCCAGTCCGGCGCTGCACTATTTACTACATTTTATAACCTGAGTTTCTTGAAATTGGATTTTTTTTAACAGGATTGTGCCTCTTTTTTCATTTGGTTGTCAGGATTCTTTTTAGCATTTGCAAATACTGATTGATAATTGAATTTGTGTTGTTTTATTCTAACTTGGTTGGTTTTGTGATCTGAGTCTCCATTACCATGATGTGTTACGTATGTTGTGATGTTTGCATATTTGGCCCTTTTATTTTGGTGTACAGATTGAAAATCAGGTTGTTTTGCTCCAATGCTGAATTTCGATTCATTTATGCATTTTATGTTTCATTTTTTATCTGGATCATTAATCATTATACATGTTATATTTTGGATGTTTAGATTGGTTTGGATTTTTGTTCCATTTATAGCTTTGCTTTTTGTCCACAGATTGTTTGGGTAGGCGTTTGGGACCGAGGTTTCTTGGAAGGGGAGATGATTCAGAGGTGGGTCTTGATTTTCTATCAACTTGCTAGACTTTATTTCACAGCCATATATGTGAGCTCTATTCTGCTTTTTTTCCTGGATAATTTTGTACTAAAGCTCTATTAATCTGGATGTGACCATTTGATATTGGTGCAGAGACTGGTTAGGGATCTATACAAGCTTCTAAATCAGGTGAATGCTGAAGAAGTCCCTGATGGATTGAAGGTGCCTGCATCTTTTGGGGACTTTGTGGCAGAAATGAAGGCTAATCAATATGATGCCAAGACATTTGCTGTCAAGTTAAAGGCCATGGTATGATATATCTTTTATGGTAAAATTGTTAGTTACTTTATTTCATGATAGTTTATGTTAGCCATTATGAAGAAAAGATAGTTTAGGCTAGTCTGTTTCCTAAAGATGAGATACGTTTTTTGGTGTTGTACAGCCCTGTAATAATAACCAGAGATTGATGCAGATTCATTGGTAAGTAGGACATCTAATCTAGCTGTGACTATCTCAATACAGACAGATCTGATGTTTTCATTGGGAAACCAGTCCCTCGTTACCTTTGATGTTCAGTAATATAGATTGCTGTTGCTGGAGTTAGGATGATACCTTTACACCTACCTAAAAAAACAATAACAGGATTTGTGCAAGCATACTGTCTTTTTTTAATTAGCTGGAGAAAATCTTTTGGCTTTTTTTATATAAGATACACACAACCATGAAAATAGGGACTCTCTAAAGTTAGCATCTTAACATTAAGGGGGAAGTTGGAATGCCAATTATGTGTATCCTTTCTGTGGCATGATCATCGAACAGACCACAGAAAGTGTAATGATTGGCTTCTTTACCTCCATAAAAAAAAAAAAAGAAAAAAAAAAGAAAAAAAAAAGGGAAGAATTCTGTCCCTCTGTAGAAGCACAGGCATATGTACCTAAATGTATTATATTCCCTCCCTATGGACTCCCTATCTAATTCCCCTCCCCATCTACTTTCTGATTTAAATGGTCCTTGAGGTTGCACATCTCTTTAGGGGATCCCATATGCAATAACTATGGAAACACCTCTTCATACTCTTGGGGCATTCATAATTGGTTAAGTATCTCGGATGCATTCGTCTTTGACACAAAAAATGTGGATCTCACTATCACACGAAAGTTATATTTTGATGCGGTTAATGTTTGCTTTTATTTTTTTATTTTTTATGTTGGAAGGGTTTATTTGTTCAGAAACAGTAGGGTTAGTTTGGTCTTTAAATTTTGTAGAGAGTTTAGGTTCTTTTGCCATTGTAGCGATTTTAGGTGTCTTTTTGTTATACCTAATGTTCGGTTAGATGAATGGTTAGGATTAAATAGTGATTAGTTTTCTTGACAGTCAAATTTGCTATTAGAATTTTTTCCTTAAAAATATAGGTAGCAGGATTTGTCTATTCAGATAGAATAGAGAGATGAATAATTCATTTATTTTTAGTTGTGTAAAAGGATCTGTTGTGATTGACTCCCTTGCAAACCTAGAGAGAGGCTATATTTCTCACCTTTTTAGTTTTATTTTCTTTCCTCCTCCTTCCTGCATCAAGTACTATCATAGCCATAAGATCTGTATACATCATGACACCATAAAAACTAACTATATATCTGTTTTTTGGAGCACATGATTAAATGTATAAGAGACTTCAAAACCCTTGGAAGAGAACTTGACAAAAATAAGGCATCAAACGGTGCAAGAACTACTTGGGAGATTAATGCAACATGTGGAACAAGAATATGAAGAAGAGGAACATCAAACTTTGACCTCTAATCCAAGAATTACTTAGACACGATTACGAGCTCCCAAAGTTGATTTGTAGGGCATGAAGTACAACTGCAGTCAACCTTCTAGGATTGCATACCTTTGATGGCATATCACAACTTTGTTGGATTAAGTTCAACATGATGGCATATCACAACTTTGTTTGATTAAGTTCAACAACGGAAAGTTCGACAGGTTAGGATTTGCATGTATTTTATTTTTGTGGGCAAGGGTTTGTTTCTTAGGAAATATGAGGGTCAATATCGGCCTTTAAATTTTGCAGAGATTTTTGGGATATTTGTGTCTTTTGTTATTGTAGAGATTTTAGGGGTATTTTAGTCATGGATAATTTTTGGGAAGACGAACAGGTAGGATTTAATTTTGTGTATGTTATCTAATAAGTTCCTTATTCTTACATTATTATTTTTATTTTTTTAATATGTTAGCTGTTGAAAGAAAATAAAATTACAGGGAGAAAATGTTAGGCAACCCACATGCCAGGTGCCCTATACAAAAACCCAAAGGGTCCAAAAAATGGTGTGCTGCCTGCAGGGCTCCAAAACAATGCATACAGCCAGATTAAACTCAAAAAGTAACAAAATTGGGAACCGAGTGCTCAGAAAGGTGCTCAGGAGGTCCATAGTATATGAATCTTAGTGGCCATGCCCTGTGATACTCCCTCTTTGTGAGGGCGTCTGCTGCAGCGTTAATTTCCCTCCAAGTATACCACCAAGAGAGGCGAACAGCCCTGCAGATGTGAGAAATCTCATAAAAAATGTGGTCTAATGTCCACGGCCAAGGTGAGGATCCTGAGGCTTAAGCGAGGAGCTGAGGATGTTTTGGAATCTCCTTCGATTAGCAGACATGGGCTCCAATTGGGATTGAACAACCTTAAGGCCTTCGAGGAGAGCTAATGTCTCCATGATGTTGGAGTTGGCATGACCTATAGAACGGGAGTATGAGAGAAGGGTACGGTTGTCCTTGTCTCTAGATAAACTTCCTATGCCAGTAAGAATTGCAAATGCAGTGCAGTGTATATTTGTGATGCTACCAGTAAAACTTTCCTGCTACTGAGAACTAGTGTTCGAAAAGGTGGATGTGGCTACCTAGGCGACCAAGGGTCCTGGCCCCCTCAGCAGGTCCCAAGAATCTCAAGCTACCTAAGTGGGGGGTTTGGGACCTCTATGATGTTGTTGTGGTTTTGGGTTGGATACGAAACTCCCCTAGCTGAACTAAGATATAAGTATATATAAAAAAAAGAACTATTTTTAAGGTATTCTCTGTATGTTATTTTGTTGTACTATTTCAAACTCCACACAACTCGAAATTGATCAACTAAAACTCTAGAAAATTGAACCTTGCCGAAAATTCACCCAAAATTATATAGATTACTAAATAGTTGCCTAAATGATCTGTCATTAGATGCCATAGTTGATTCATATTCCACAATTGGCGTCAGCAATCATATATCATAACATAAAGTCACAACTTGGTTCAAATCTGACTTGGTTTGTATTGGTGACCTTTGGTTGTCAAAAGGCCTCCTTTGCAACCACTTCAAGTCTCAGAACCTATCGTCTTCTTCTTCTTCATCAGCATCATCATCATCATCATCATCCAAGCCTTGTCCCAATTTTTTGGGATCAACTGCATGAATCTTGTTCATCCATTTTCTTTATCAAGAGCCATAAGACTAAAAGTTATTATATTTTTTCTCGTTACTTCTATCCATATCTTTTTGGGCCTTCCCCTTACCTTTTTAGAGCCTTCCACTTGAATCAAATCGCACCTCGTTATCGGTGATGGATTAGGTCTACGCTGCACATGGTCAGCCCACCTAAATCTACTTTCCCTCATCTTATCTCCTATTAACTCCACACCTAAGTTCTCTTATAGATATTCATTCTGAATTCTGTCATTTCTTATCTTGCTACTCATCTATCCCAACATCCTCATCTTAGCTACCCTACCCTCATCCTATGGATATGTTGTTTCTTGGCTCCCAACATTGGGCTGGTCTTGCAATTGACATGTAGAACTTACCCTTCAGTCTTAATGGTATGCGGCAATTATATAAAACTCCGGGTGCACATCTCCACTTCGCCCATCCAGCTCTCATGTCTCAGAAACTATCCGATCAATTTTTTTTTTTCGTTTTTTCAAAATTTCTTTCAATCTTCAATAAAATATAAAAAAATTAGGTTTTTTTATTTTATTTATTCTTTCAAAACAAACCTAAGAGGATCCTTGGTGTAGAATGTGCCCCCCCCTCCCTCCTCTCCTCTCCCCTTTCAGGGGTGAAATTACAAATTTTTCCCTCAGCCAAGTGCTTTTTCCTCCCTCAGCCAACGGTATTCAGGCGCCCCCAGGTGGACCTTTGGTACCTAGGCACATGACCGAAGGAGGCACCTACCTTGGCCACTATGGTTCAGGTGGCTACGTCAACCTCCTAGGCAGCGAGATGGTCCACTTTTTGAACATTGCTGAGAACTTGTGTGAAGTCATGTTTGAGCTTTTAATGTTATACATGCTAAGGCCATTGGGCCAGGGTTCATCAAGAATCTTTCATTTTTTACATGGTTGATTAAGTTTTTTGTTTTCTAGCTTGTTTTTTCCTGTGTTATTTTATTAAAGTTAAAATCCTTTGAAGGAAAAAATTGTCATTATTTCTTAGTTGGTTCTAAGATATGTATTAGGGGTTCGTTTGGCTACCTGGAGAAGCTTCGTCCTAGGGATAAGCTTATACTGAAATTGGCTTCTCCTGGAATTGGTTTGTCCATGGGATAGGGTTGTCTTTTGTTTGGATAGCACCTGATAAAAAATGTGGATATGCCAGTCCACTGTTTGGATTGCCTGGAATAAGTGAATCCATGGCAATTCAGTTGCAGTTTTTATATTATTACTCTACATTTAATTTTATATTAACTCCGCACATGCATTCCAAACTTTCATATTAACTCCGCACATTTATTCCAAACTTCAATATTATTTCTTAACTATGATGAAATCCTCATTTTTGTTCTTATTCCTTTCCATTGTATCCTTGTATATAGCTATCACGTACCAAATATTCAATTTACCACAATGTTTTGGGAAATCATGAAGTTATATACCAAATGGTTTTGGCTCCAGTCTCAAGACTGGTGTCCCATTGTCTCAAACTCCCAAGAGCTTTCAAACCCTTTTTGTATCATCAATCAGAGATGAGCATCCATGGCCAAAGTTGGATATATTTCACAGACCAAAAATTCCGGTTTTGCTTCCCATGTAAAATAAGACATTGAAGACATGTAGTGGCTTCTTATATCTTGAGTGTCTCTAGTTTTGTATGTACAGTGCTGCTCTGATTCTTCTCTCCTCTACTTCTCTGTATCTCTCTTTCCTTTGTTTTTGAATAACCGTTTGTATGATTTTTATTTATTTTTAATTATAGATCCAGAACTGAACAAGCTACTGTAATTCCACTAATGTATCGGAATGGGCATCTCATATATTGAGTTATTTCATTAAAAATGCTTGAA